GCTTCTATCAGGTAGGCGTTGGCAAGATCTGGGCAACTCAGTTCGTTTTCGTGGAAGTCCTGTTCTTCAAGCTCGGCCTCAGGACAGTGCGGGATGAGCCCAGAGTGGTTAGCATTCCCCGCCGTGCGGGACGAGCCCTGGTGTGGCTAGCATTCCCCGCCGTGGTGTGCAGTGGTGGTCTATGTCAATCTGTAAATCGTGGAAAATTTGGCGGCGATGTCAGCTATTCTGCTTCACCGTCAATTTCTCAGGCGTCTACTGTATGGGCTCAGCTGCTATTGAGTGCCGCGGTATCCACCGTCTGGATTGTCTGCAGTTGGTGGCTTTCCTCGTGCAATTCAATTTCGCCATGGTTTTGGTGCTCAGTCTCTGTCATCGGGACGAGCCCTGGTGTGGCTAGCATTCCTCGCCGTGGTTGCAGTGGTGGTCTATGTCAGCTGGTAAATCGAGTTTTGGCGGTGATGTCATTTTTGTTGCTTCACTTTCATCTCTCAGGCGTATGCTGTATGGGCCCTGCTGCTATAGAGTGCCTCGGTATCCACAAAATGGTTGTCTACAATTGGTGGCTTCCTCGTGCATTTTACGGTCTCTGCATGTTTGTAAATCGTGGAGTTTCGGCGGCGGTTCAATTGCTGCTTCACCGTCTTTCTCTGGCGTCTTCTGCAGGGGCTCAGCTGCCATTGCCGCTTCTGTATCCACAACTGGATTGTATTGCAGCGTTCAAATTTCAGTTTTCAGTGCTTGGGGCGTGCTGCGGGCTTCTCCTCGGAGCATGGTTGTGTATCTATTTCGCTACCGAGGCTGGTGGTGGTCTTGGCGATCTCTTCGGGAGGTAGTTCGATGACCGCGCCACTGTGTGCGACAAGAGCCGTATCGAGTCAGCATCATGCCAGCTTAGAAAGTGGAGAGGTATTTCTTCCGTATTTCGTGACAGGGAGTCCATTTTGCTGCAGGCCTCAATTCACTAATGCAGTTTTCATGTTCTGGAGTAAGGAGTCGTGGGCACGTCCGTTGCTTGCTCTGTTGAAGGGAACGTCTCCTCGACATCATACGGCGGGAAGTGTGTGTCGGCGACTTCACCTTGTGAGTGGGGCGCTCCAGACGGGTCTCAAGAGTCCTGCACCCTATTGCAGGTGACTGAGCTCAGCCTTCATTTCCCTACGGGATGGCGGAAATCCTGGAAATCCTCTACCTCCTGCTCCTCCTCCTCCTCCTCGTTCTCTTCCTCCTCCTCCTCCTCCTCCTGCTCCTCCTCCTCCTCCTCCAGTCCTTCTCCTTATAAACAACTCCTCCCTGTCGCACCCCGATGCCAATTTTTAGGGCGGGCCAGGCGTTTCGCCTGAGACCCCCTCACCGTTTATGACTCTGAAGCTTAGAGAGTGGCAACGCATTCACAGATGTGCAAGAGGTTCACGGATTGAGAGCGGGTGGTTTTCACAATGTAGCTCTCGCCTTAGCGCCGCGTGCATTCGTTAGCAAAATGTGCAAAAGTTTCACGGATTCCCATGATCAACGTACCAGAACAGGTGTTTTGGAACGATTCAGGATTATGCGGGTGCAGCAGTTCTGTTGATTCGCGGTGTTGAAGTCCTAAAAATGGCGCTCTGGCACGATTCCAGATCGTCCAGACGCAGCAGTCAGGTTGATACGTGGCGTTGAAATCCCTAGAACAATGTTTTGGTATGCTTCAGGATCTTCAAACGGTTGTCTTCCAACGAGGAAGTTCCGTCAATGGAAATGAACCGTTGTGGGGGCCTGTGAAGAGGGAGCTTGGAGGGAGGGTTAATTCTAACATCGTTGATGACTCTTGGTTTTATACTGGTCCTCCTCCTTCTCCTCCTCCTCCTGCTCCTGCTCCTTCTTCTCCTCCTCCTCCTCCTCCTCCTCCTCCTCCTCTTCCTCTTCCTCTTCTTCCTCCAGCTCCTCCTCCTCCTCCTTCTCCTCCTCCTCCCCCTCCTACTTACGTGTAGCCGGAATCACCGCTGCCGTCGGTGTGGGCGGCGTCGTGGTCGTCGTCGCCGCCGTCGCCGCCGCGGGCTGCTGCCGGCTGCTGCCGCGGTGTTGGGCAGCGGGGCCTCTGTTCCACGGCGGGTGCGGGGCCCGGGACCCCCGTGGCGGGGGGGGGAGGGTGGGGGGAGCGGGAGGGGAAGGGGGCCGGGGGAAGCAAGCTACAGTGGAGGCTTCTGAGAAGGCCTTCTCCTTCTCACTTCCCGTTCTCGCTCGCCGCCAACTTTGGGGCCCCCCGAACTCCGAGCGCTGTGCGATAGCAGCGTCTGACGCGCTCGGGGCTTGGCCTCCGTGCACCAGCGTTCACTCTTGCCTACAGTGGAGGCCCACGCCAAGAGGCACCCTGCTTGCCTTCAGGGTGCCCTGCGTTTCTTGGGCTTCGATGGTCTTGCCATGAAAGGTGTGACGGTCCCACACCAAAAAACCGATGGGCGTCCTGGGGTCTCAGGGTTGGGTCTCTTGTGGAAGGCTTCTTGTGGTCGGGCCCCCACTGTGGGTGCGCTCGCGCCACATCTGACATTCGGCGGCGAGCGAGGGGGGGAAATGAGCAGGAGAAGGCTTGCTCAGAAGGCGGCGGGACTTCTCGGAAGCCCTCGCGCCTTCTCACATTTTTCTTGGGTCTTCGGGGAAGGCTTAGAACACTTCTCAGAAGGCCGGGGGACTTTCGAGCCTTCTGAGAAGGCTTTCTCCTTCTCACTTCCCCCCCTCGCTCGCCGCCGAGGCATCCTACCCCTCCCACCCATCCTTTCCCGTTGCGTTCTTTTTCTACATCCGCCGACCGGGCGTCATAGCGGACTGGGAACTCCCAAAAGCGGACCCCATTGTGGCATGCGCAATGACAAGGGGGAATCTGCGTACATCGGAGGATGATGATGAGGAGGAGGAGGAGGAGAAGGAGGAGGGAGGACGAAGAGGAACAGCAGCAGGAGCAGGAGTGGGAGAAGCGGGAGGAGCAGGATGCCCAAAGGAATGTGGGGGAGGGGGAAAAGAGCGGGGCGACAACGATGAGGAAGCACCCGGATCCAGAAAAATGGCCCGCGCTGAGGCCAGGTCGCCATCCGGAACGATGGGAGCAGAATGCCCATCCTAAGATGGGGCCAGCGCTGCAGCGGGAGCACCATTCTGCGACACCAGAAACGCTCCGATTGAAACAAACAAACCCAACCCCGACGCACGGCCGCCTTCGCGCTCTCGCCCCCCCCCCCCCCCTCGAGGAGAAAGGGCCTCCCCCTCCTCCCCCTCCTCCCCCCCCTCCCCCCCTCCCTCCTCCTTCCTCCTCCTCCTCCTCCTCCTCCTCCTCCTCCTCCTCTTTCTCCTCCTCCTCCTCCTCCTCCATTCCCTTTCCTTACAACTAACTTCTCCCTGTCGCACCCCGAAGCCAATTGTTAGGGTGGGCCGGGCGTTTTGCCTGAGGCTTCCTGGCCAGTTTTGACTGTGAAGCTTAGAAAGTGACAGCAGTTTCACAAATGGAGGGCGGGTGCGTTTCAAAAGGCGGCTCTCGCCTTAGCGCCGCGCACATTCGTTTCAGGAAAGTGCAGAATTTTTAAGGATTGAGGGCGGGTCGTTTTCAAAATGTGGCTCTCCCCTCAGCGCCGCGTACATTCGTTTAACAACTTTGCAAGGGTTTTACGGATTGAAGGCGGCTCCTTTTCAAAATTTGGCTCTCGCCTTAGCGCCGCGCACAGTCATGTCAAACAATTTGCAATCATTTCACGGATTGAGGGCGGCTCCTTTCCAACATGTGGCTCTCGCCTCAGCGCCGTGCACATTCGTTTCAAACATTTGCAAGGGTTTCACGGATTGAGGGCGGTTCCTTTTCAACATGTGGCTCTCGCCTTAGCGCCGCGCACATTCGTTCATACAAGTTGAAAAAGCTTCATGGATTCCCATGATCAGCGTACCAGAAGCGGTGTTTTGAGAGGATTCAAGATTTTGCGGGTGCAGCAATGATATTGGTTTGGGGTGTTGAAATCCCAGAAATGGCGTTCCTGCACGATTCTTCGATCGTCAAGACGCGGCAGTCAAGTTGATCCGTGGCGTTGAAATCCCGAGAACAATGTTTTGACAAGCTTCAGGATCTTCAAGGGTGTCTTCCAAAGAGGCAGTTCCCTCAATGGAAATGAATGAGCCGTTGTAGGGGTTTCTGGAGAGGGAGCTTGGAGGGCGGGTTAATTCCAACATCGTTGATGACTCTTTGGTTTTACACTGGTCCTCCTCCTCCTTTTCCTCCTCCTCCTGCTCCTGCTCCTGCTCCTGCTCCTGCTCCTCCTGCTCCTCCTCCTCCTCCTCCTCCTCCTCCTCCTCCTCCTCCTCCTCCTCGTCGTGTGTCAGAAACAGGACGCGGAGAGGGGCGGGCGACTCCTCGGGGCCATCTTCGGGGGAGAGGGGGGGCGCGGGCAAGGTGGCAATCCCCCGTCTCCCCCTCGCACTTTTGCCCCTCCTCGCACACCGCCGAAGAGTGGATGGGGGCCATTGCGAGGGGGAGGTGGAGGGTCGCCCCCTTGCCCCCCGCCCCCTCTCCCCCGAAGATGGCTGGGGAAATCGCCCTCGCACTTGCCCCTCCTCCGTCTTCTCCTCCGTGACACGCTCGTGCGAAGACGCCGCCCAGCACCACGAGGCAGTGCGGAGAGGCTGGGAGGGTTGCGGCAGAACGCGCACCGTGGTAGTCTGGCCCCTTCAGCGACCGCGGGTCCGAGCAAGGCCGAGGATACATCTCATACCGAGGCCAGGGCAAGCAGCAGTTTGAACGTGCCGGTGCACGTGGTGCAGTTCTGAGAGCTGCTGCGGTCCTGCCACGCCCTGCTCTGGAACTCTGCCCCGACCTCGGGCGTCCCGACCTCTGCTGCTTGATGGGGCTTAGGAGCTCTCGACCTCGTATCATCTCCCGCGTGGCATGTCGGCGCCGCGGGCCGCTTGTTCTGCGAGCTCCCTGGGGGGCCCCCGAAGTGCACCGAGAGCCTGAGAACGGCTCGCCGCCCTTTTTCTTTCAAGCGCTGGAGCTCCGCCGGTGCATGGCAGCATGGCAGGCCTCAGGCTCCCTGGAATGGGCCCTCGTGTCCAGACAAACGTTTTCCATTCTTGGCGAAGTAAGTGCTCGCAAATGGCCTGGCTCTGCCGCGGGGGATCCACGATCCACAACACCCAGGCAAGCGTTTTTTGTTTTTGTTGTTTTTATTTTTTCGGACGTTTGCGATAGGGCACTTTGCGAGTAGTGGAACGCGCTCGGTGAGTGTCTAGACGAGGCCCAGCATCGCGCCGCATCGCCGATGCACCAGCGATGCCAGGGTGGAGAAGGTCGAGCTCCAGATCGAGCCGCGTCGCCACTGCATCGGCGACGCGGTGCGACCTGCGGGCGCCACTCCCAGGCCTCCAGCGCCGAGTCGTGTTTTTTTTTCCAGCCATCCTGTGGTGTGGGTCCTCGTTTTGAAGAGACGGTTCCTCCTCTCCTCCTCCTCCTCCCTCTCCCCCTCTGCCCTCCGCATGTTTCTCAGTCGGCACACCCCTCGCGCGTTTCGTGACCCTATAGGGAACTCCTTCTGAGATCCCAGTGGCGGAGCTCGCATGGCATCCCCGCTTCATTTTGGCACACCCCTCACACGTTTCGTGGCCCCATAGGGAGCTCCACCTAAGGTCCCAGTGGTGGAGCTCGCATGGCATCCCCGCCCCATTTTGGCACGCCCCTCACACGTTTCGTGGCCCCATGGGGAGCTCCACCTAAGGTCCCAGTGGCGGAACTCGCATAGCATCCCCGCTGCATTTTGGTACAAGGTCCCACTGGTGGAACTCGCATGGCATCCCCGCAGCATTTTGGCACGCCCCTCACACGTTTCGTGGCCCCATAGTGAGCTCCAACTAAGGTCCCAGTGGCGGAGCTCGCATGGCATCCCCGCCCCATTTTGGCACACCCCTCACACGTTTCGTGGCCCCATAGGGAACCCCACCTAAGGTCTCAATGGCGGAACTCGCATGGCATCGCCACCCCATTTTGGCACGCCCTTCAAACGTTTCGTGGCCCCCTAGGGAGCTCTACCTGAGGTCTCAATGGCGGAACTCGCAGGACGGCGCCGTCCCATTTTGGCACATCTCTCACACCTTTCGTGGCACTATAGGGAGGTCCACCGAAGGCCCAAGTGGCAGGCTTCGCATGGCGGCCCCGCCCCATTTTTTCACACCCCTCACACGGTTCGTGGCCCCATAAGAAGCTCCACCGAAGGCCCCAATGGCAAAATTCTCATGGCGGCCCCGCCCCATTGTGTCGCCCTCCTCACACGTTTCGTGGCCCCATCGGGAACTCCACCTGAGGTCCCAATGGCGGAACTCGCATGGCGTCGCCGCTTCCCTCAGAGGGAGCTCCACCTAAGGTCCCTGTTGCGGAGCTCGCATGGCGGCGCCGCCCCATTTTGGCACGCCCGAGAGGCGACGGCCCTCGCCAGGGAGCTGGGCTTCACCGAGTTTATCCGCGAGGCTTGACCTGGGGAGCGGCCCGCCCGAGACTCGCGTTTTTCGACGGTCTGACTGTTTGGCCTCGCGCCGCGGGCGACCCGCGCGCTTCGCTGAGACCCTCTCGGGGCGACCATCGCGCGTTGTGGGAACTCCATGCTGCGCTCTGCCCAACGCCTCGCTCGCCCCAGTCGTCGTTCTGCCCAGCGGCCAGAGCCTTGCCCGCTATCGGCCAACCCGCTAGCTCTCTCTGCTCCGCGCAGCGGACGACCCGCGCGGTCGCCGGGACCCCTTCGGGGCGACCGGCGCGGGTCGCGGGGGCTCCGTGCGGCGCCGCGCCCGCAGCCTTGGACATTGGCGTGCGCGGGCGCGGATGTCGGCGCGCCCCTCGCGCGGTTCGTGGCCCCATAGGGAGCGCAAGCGAAAATGGTATCCACGATTGCGCTATTTACAACTGCGTATGGTTGGGTCCTTCGCCAGGCTAATTTTCCAAGCGTCCTGCGGTAGTGGGTCCTCGTTTTGAACCCGCAGCGCTGCTCCCTTCTTCCCGCTCCGGGGGTCCAAGTAGCCATAGGTGAGCAAGCAGAGGTAGGAGAGGTACAGGCTCAATTACTTTCAACACGAGTGCTGGTGGTGAGAGACACCACGGTGACGCTGTGGAACCCCATCAGCCGCCAACCAGGGGGTCCCACCCGCGACCTTCGTGAGGGCGCCCGTATGGCACACCGCCAGGCATCTGGTGCACCTCTCACACGTCTCGTGCCCCCTCAAGAAATCTCACCTGCGGCCCCAGAGAGGGCGCGCGTGTGGCGCCACCCCGCCCGTTTCCCAACACTTCTTGCGTCGGCGGCTAGGCAGAGTAACTGCGCTGGCGGAGAACGAACTAAATGGGGGCTACCGTTGTAGCGAACTGTGCCACCATGCAAGGACAAGGGGACAAGACAGACCCGCTTCCCAACACACCCCTCACGCGTTCCGTGGCTCTCTCGGGGGCCCCACCTGCGGCCCCAGTGTGCGCCGACGCGTGGCCCTGCCGCCCCCAGCTCGGCACGACCCCACGAGGACCGCGGCCCCACAGAGAGCTTCACCCACGGTCTCAGAAGGCGCCGGCGCAGCCACCGATCCAATCTTCCGACGCAGCACTCACAAAGATCGTGGTGTCCCAGATCTAGCTCTGCATGCAGCCTCGGTGGCAGGGTCCGCATATCGATGGTGTTCGTTCCGGCGCACCCCTCGCAAGGATCGTGGTCTCAGACGGGGCCCCACCTAGGGTCTTAGTGGCAGGGTCCGCATGCTGGCGCCGCCCATTTCAGCGCACCCCTCACGAGGATCGTGGCCCCATATGGCGGACGACCTCCACCTGCGGCCCCATTGGCAGACCTGTATGGCGGCGCCGCCCATTTCAGCGCACGTCTCACGAGGATCGTGGCCTGACGGGGCATACGGACTCTGTGGCAGTGTCCGCATGGCGGCGCCCCCCACTTCGGTGCACCCCTCACAAAGATCGTGACCCCATAGGGAGCTCCACCTACGGCCCCAGTGGCAGGGTCCGTATGGTGGCGCCGCCCATTCTAGCGAAGCTCTGACGAGGATCGCGCCCACTGGGAACATGTGCATTCGTACTTCCGGCCGTTTCGGCGAGCTCCACCTACCGCCTCAGTGGGAAAAAAAATGCATGCGTTTTCCTGCGCATTTCGGCGCATGCCTCACACGTTTCGTGCCCCTTAGGGGGCTCCACCTACGGCGCCAGTTGGCAAGCTTACCTGCGTCTGATCGCCCATCCCTCACACAGGTCGTGCACAGAGAAATCCATCACCATCGCTACATGAAACTGCTAAGGGTTGGGTCCCTCGCCAGGCTAATTTCAAGACGGGGTCCCTGGAATGCCAAACCTCTCTCTCGAGGTCGGCTTCTCGTCCTGAATCGTTTCGTGGACAATCCAGGGGTTCGCAGCCAGACTCGACAAGGCCGAACTCAGGGCAAACGCCATCATCGGAAAAATCACGACTTCGGAGCTTGGCCGTGCAAGCAAAGCCGCCGCGCCAACTTTCTGTCCGGGCGCTCCAGAAACTTGCCGGCCCGCGCCGCGCGACACCTCCCCCCAGCTCCTCCCCCCGAGGCCACCTCGGGGGCTCTACTCGTTGAGTCCGCCACCATACCTCGAGTAGGGGATCGACTACAGAATGGATTTCGAACAGACAGTCAATTCTGAGGTAAATCAATTTTGCAGTCGATCTCCTACTCGAATACGCCCTGGCACGGTGAGGCGTGGTAGAATGCCAAGCGCTGTCTGGTGGGATTTCTGTACAGCCGGGCCTGAGACAAAATGATACCGGATCTTTTTAGGGCTATCGGGCTACATGGCTATAGGGCTATGGGGCTATAGGGCTTTAGGGCTATAGGGCTATAGTGCTATCAAGCTATAGGCCACCCGGGTACCCAAGCACCTGGGCACCACCTGGGTGCCTGGGCACCCGGGCGTGCCGCCGAAATCGGCGCCGTACCTCACCTAACCATATGAATCCGCTATGACCCCTATAAAGGAAAGCTCTGATTGCGGGAAAAACCGAATCATAATCTTTTTAGGGCTATGGGGCTATAGGGTTCTGGGGCTATGCGGCTATAGGGCTATAAGGCTACAGGGCTATAGGGCTGTAAGGCTATAGGGCTATAGGTCTCTTAGGGCTATAAGGCCATAGGGCACTAGGGCTCTAAGACTCTAGCGCTCTAGGGCTATAATGCTATAGGGCACCCGGGCACCACCTGGGCACCACCTGGGCACCTGGGCGCCCGGGCACCCAGGGGTGCCGCCGAAATCGGCGCCGTACCTCACCTAAGCATATGAATCCGCTGGAACCCCCACACAGAAGCAAGCTCTGATTGGGGAAAAACATCTTTCTGGAGCATGCCAGCCAAAGTGAAGAGCATTCGAGGGGGACCCTCCCCCAGGATCGGCGGCGAGCGCGGGGGGGAAGCGAGAAGGACAAGGCCTTCTCCGTTCGGAAGTTCTCCTGCCCTCTGAGAAGTTTTGTAATCCTTTCCCGAAGACACAAATCGGGGGCGCGCAAACATGGATTAGCGATCCATGGATTTGGCGCGCGGTCGCCAAATCCATGGATCGGGGGAGGTGCCCTCCCCAAAGTGCGGCCAGTGCCGCCTCGTTCGGCGGCGGAAATCCGCGATTTCCCATGGAAACGGGACTCGTCGCTAATCCATGTTTGCGACCGCCTGAAAAAAAGACTTCGCAGAAGGCTGGAGGGCTTCTGAGGAGCCCTGCCGCGCCTTCTGGGAGGGCCTTCTCCTTCTCACTTCCTCCCCTCGCTCGTCGTCGGCGGGATGCACAAGAGCATCCAAGGAGCACATGGGTACTGCCCCCAAGCCGACCGCGATCTGACACCTCGGTCCGACTGCAAGGGACCCGACGATGACGATGACGATGACGATGACGATGGCGAAGACGACGATAGGGGAGACCAAAAGGTACCGATACCGCTACTCCCCAGGCCTCCCCCGGGGCGCGTTCTGACCAGAATCTCGAGGCGCATCTTCCTCCTCCTCCGAGAGGACGATGGCGAGGACGATGCCGTCGTCGTCCTCGTCCTCGCCTCCCCTCCGGCAGCGCTGCCTCTGGCTGCACCGCCGCCCCCCTCCCGGAGGTCCCCAATGGGGGCCCCGCCGCCTCTCCCCCGGGGGGCGCTCTCCCGGGAGGACCCCCCCCCAAGCCCTGACCCTCCAGAGTGCTGGAAGAGTAGCACTGCAGACCTATCGACCTATCTGGGATGCCTCAAAACTCGACAGGGATCAGGGCGTCGACGTCCTTTGTGCTACTTTTTAGCCCTCCTGGGAGGTCAGGGAAGGACGGCCCGGGAGGCCTCAGGACGCTCGCCCGGGGTGCCCGAAGAGGTCGAAACCATGGGCGGCCTTCGTTTACTGAGTCGACGAGCGCGTTCCACTACTCGCAAAGTAACCACTCGCAAATGGCCTGGATCCCCCGCGGGGGATCTACGATAAATTACATCAAAGCAGACAAGTGTTTTTCGGACGTTTGCGAGTAGGCACTTTGCGAGTAGTGGAACGCGCTCGGTGACCAAAGGACGGCCCAGAAGGGCTCAGGACGGCCCCCCGGGGGCTCCGACAGAGCCCCCCAGGTGGTGCCCGAAAAAGTCAAAACCATGGACGGCCTTCGTTTATCGGCGGTGGACAAGCCTCCATTTAGTAAAACCGACGGACCTGGACCCGCAAAAATGACGGCCGCGACGCCCTCTCACGAACCGACATCGGCCAATTCCTTAATCGACGTGTCAGGGTAGGAGGTCTATCCACTTCCGAGTTTACTGAACAGACCTTTCGCGTTCTCACCCCCGTCGGGCTTCCGTCGGCTCACGAGGCCGTCCGAGACGCCCCCAGTCGGACCCCCAGAAAGCCCAATAGGCTCCAGCGTCTGCCCAGGAGGCTCTCACGATGGGCCGGGGAGGTCGCCAGGACGACCCAGCAAACCTCCAAGACGACTTCGGTGCCCCAAGACGGGTCCAAGACGGTCGTGAGAGGCCCCCCAAACAGACTCCGAAGGCGTCAGACTGCCCAAGATTGCCCTAAGATGCCCAAGGAGCCCCCAAGAGGTCCCCCGGAGCCCCCAGGAGAGGAGGACGGACGAAGAGAAAGGGAGGAATACGACGACGTCGTCGAGGCGAGACGCCCCGACGCGTCGCGGAGAGCGTGCCACAACTTATGGCTCACCAGAATCTCGGGGCACGAGGTTGCACATCACGGCTTGCTGTGCGTTCCTCTAACGGTCGCAACTCCAAAAGCCAGGCTGGCACGGTGGCGGGACTTGCCGCAGGCAGCTGGGTATTCTGTCTCAGGGGCTCCGACGAGCAGGGCAAACCAAAAGGGGGGGAGGACGAGTGAGGGGAGCAGGAAGAAACGGGTGAGAGAGGAGGAGGGGAGAGGGAAGGAGGACAAGCTAGGTGCGCTCGCGTCATATCTGACATCCTACCCCTCCCTCCCATCCCTTACCATGGCGTAGATTTCCTCTCTCTTCGCACAGTCGGATGTCGGGCAGGGCAGTGATCCCGAGAGGGTGCGCGACGCAGCGTAGAGCACGGCGTAGCAGGGCGTAGAAGAGCACGGCAGAGCGTAGTATGTCATAACATGGCGTGGCGTTGCTTAGTGAAGAATTGCATCACAAATCATTGCAACGCAAGGAATGGCATCGCACAGCGGCTCAGAAAAGAACATGGCATACCATGGCGTTGAAGATCACATAATAGCATGGCACAGCATGGCGTGGCACTGCGTAGTCAAGCACTGCATATCCTAGCATGGCAGCTGAGGGCATGGCATCGCACAACGGAACACCACATAACATTGCATTGCATGCCGTGGCATGGCACTGGAAATAATGACGCTGGCGCTGCAACGGGAGCACGATTCGCAACGAGCGGAAACGCGGAAATGAGGCCAACGCTGCAGCGGGAACACGATCCGGAACGAGCGGAAGCGCGGAAATGATGCCAGCGCTGCAGCGGGAGCACGATTCGGAATGCGCGGAAGCCCGAAAATGAGGCCAGCGCTTCAGCGGTAGCAGCATTTTGAGAAAAAACCCAAGCGAAAACCCAACTCCCGGGAATCCTGCGTGTAAACAAACAATACAGAGGCGGGCCGAATATCTTGTGGACGTAATCAGGGGAGAGAGGATAATATCCACGTTGTGTGATTGTGGAGGGAGAAGAGGGGAGGAGGGGGGGAGGAGGGGAAAGAGAAGGAAGGAGGGTAAGAGGAGGGAGGGGAGCAGGAGAAGGGTGAGGGAGGAGGAGGAGGAGAAGGAGACGGACGAGGAGGAAGAGAAGGAAGAAGAGGAGGAAGAAGAGGAAATGGAGGACGACCCGTGTAAACCCAAGACTCATCAAAGATGTTGCAATCAACCTTCCCTCCCCTACAAAGATTCATCTTCACTGAAAGAAATGCCCCGTTGGACAACAGCCGTGTGAATATCCGGAACTGTGTTAGAACAACATTCCAGGGACTTCAGCGCCGTGAACTACCATTACTGTCTCGTTTTGACGATTCCGAATCGTGCCAGAACACCATTTCTGGGTCTTCAGTACTACTACTCAACACAACGGTTGCGCCCTGACAGTCCGACATTGTGCCAAAAGACAATTTCTGAGACGTTAACAATGAGAATCCTTGAAACGGCTGTGAACTCTTGAATAGAATGTGGGCGGCGCTAAAGCGAACCACATTTTGAAAAAGAGCCGCCCTCCATCCGTGAAGCTCTTGCAGACGTTTAAGCGAATGTGCGCGACGCCAATGCGAACACCACATTTTGGAAAGGAGCTGCCCTCCATCCGTGAAGCTCCTGCTTGTTTTGTTGTAAAACATAATTTAAAAAACGAACGTGCGCGGCGCCAGGCGAGAACCACATCTTGAAAACGACCTGCCCTCCATCCGCGAGGCTGTTGCAGCATGTTAAAAGACGGACGTGCGCGGCGCTGCACCGAAAACAACAGTCTGAAAGCCACCCGCCCTCCATCAAGGACTTCGGCGCCGCGAATTACCCGTCACTGTCTCGTCTTGGCGATCCTGAGTCGTGCCAAAACGCCGCTCCTGGGACTTCAGCACCGCTAGTCATCACAACGGTTGCGCCCTGACCATGCGGCATCGTGCCAGAACACCAGTTCGGGGACGTTAACCATGAGACTCTTTGAAACGGTTATAAACTCTTAAACTGAATGTGCGCGGCGCTAAGGCGAGAACAACATTTCCCAATCAGAGCTTGCCTCTGTAGGGGTCCTAGCGGACTCATATGGTTAGGTGAGGTGCGTCGCCGATTTCGGTGGCCAGCCCAGGTGCCAGGGTGCCCGGATGCCTGGGTGCTCTATCACCCTATAGCTCTATAACTCTATAGCCATATAGCCCTATAGCCCAATAGCCCAATAGCCCAATAGCCCCATAGCCCTATAACCCTATAGCCCTATAGCCCTATAGCCCTATAACCCTATAGCCCGATAGCCCTATGGCCCTATAGCCCTACATAGCCCTGTGGTCCGATAGCCCTGTAGCCCATATAGCCCTGTAGCCCTATAGCCGTATAGCCCTATAGCCCTATGGCCCTATAGCCCTATATTCCCATGGCCCTATAGCACTATAGCTCTAATAGCCCTGTAGCCCTACAATCCTATAGCCCTAGCCCTATGGCCCTAGCCCTCATGGCCTTCATAGCCCTCGCAGACTTCATACATCTAAGGAACATTTACACAAGGATCTCATGTAAGATCAAACAAGACTGTGATAGGGTTTTCCTCTGGAATCATTTTCAAAACCAGCCGCCCTCCATCCGTGAAGCTGTAGAACATTTCGAATTTCAGGATCATAAGCTGTATGGGAGTCTCAGGCAACACTGCGCCCTTTCGACTGCTTTCGGGGTTCGGCAGGGAGGAGTTATCTATAAGGAAAAGGAATGGAAAAGGAGGAGGAAGAGGAGGAGGAGGAAGAGGAGGACGAGGGGGAGGAGGAGGAGGGTGAGGAGGAGGGTGAGGAGGAGGAGGAGGAGGGTGAGGAGGAGGAGGAGGAGGAGGAGGAGGAGGAGGAGGAGGAGGAGGAGGAGGAGGAAGGGGGAAGGGGAAGGAGAAGGAGGGGCGGCGGATGGAGGGGAGGGGAGGAGTCGAGGAGGAGAGGCAGAAGGAGGAGGGGAGACGGCGGGAGGGGATGCGGGGAATGAGGAGAGGGGAGAGGAGGAGCAGAAGGGCGTGCGGCTCACGTGGTGACGGTCCTCTCCGCGTGAGGGGCGGAAGGAGGAGCCACTCACCCCGCTCGGTGGACCCTCCCGCGGGCTGCGCAGAACAGAACCCGATGTGGTCAAGGCAACGGCGAGGGCTCCTCTGGCTTCAGGTTGAACCTGTTGGCCCGCTCCTTGTCGAGAGGCTGCCGACCGCCCAGGGTTCCCTGGCAGACCATCCACTCCTGGTGGGCTCGACCCAACGAGAGCGGATGATGATGATGATGATGATGATGATGATGATGATGATGATGATGATGATGATGATGATGATGATGATGATGATGATGATGATGATGCTGATGCTGCTGCTGCTGCTGCTGCTGCTGATGAAGATGCTGCTGCTGATGATGACGAGAAGGAGGAGGAGGTGATGATGATGATGAGGAGGAGGAGGGAGGAGGAGGAGGAGGAGAAGGAGGAGTAGGAGGAGGAGGAGGAGGAGCAGGAGGTTAACGTAAGGCAAGGGCGCCTGGGGGTCTGAGGTCCTGCAGACCAGGAGCAACAACCATACCGCCACGAGATATAGCCTGGTCGCTGGACCCTCACTCCATATGAGGGCTTGCCCGCCTGGAGCGGCGGGGACAATAGCCTGGCCGCCGGGGCGCCGGCGGAGGGCCACTCCGACGCGTGAGAGCGTGCCGCACGACAAGGAGAGGGACGGGGCAGCAGGCCCCCACGGCGTGCACCCCCTCCCGAGGCCCGTGCAGCGGGCAGAGGAAGCTCACCCTGTACGGATGAAAAGCACAGCTTGCATTCCACTGCCTGCTCGCTCCTCTTCCTGGGCGTCGAGGTGTCTGTCACAGTAGGTTGTACCCCTCCAACCATATCCCAGGCCGTTCTGTCACCACACCTTTCGGGGGTCTGCTCACCCGGGTCAATCCAGACCCGAGTCGATCGGGCCCTGCGAGAGCCTGCAAGACTGCACCCGAACCCGGGTCAGTGCACTCCTGGCCCTGCAGGATCCTGCAGGACCCAGCGCTCTGACTGACCCCCGGTGCGCATTGGGGCCCCCGTCCCTCGAGCCCCGCGTGCAGCGGCAGAAGAGAGAAGGGAGGAGGAGGAGGAGGAGGAGGAGGAGGAGAGGAGGGAGGAGGAGGAGGAGGAGGAGGAGAGGAGGAGGAGGAGGAGGAGGAGGAGGGGAGGAGGGGAGGAGGAGGAGGAGAGGAGGATGGCGAAGGAGGGAGGAGGAGGAGGAGGAGGAGGAGGAGGAGGAGGAGGAGGAGGAGGAGGAGGAGGAGGAAGGAGGAAGGAGGAGGAGGGAGGAGGAGGAGGGGAGGAGGGAGGAGGAGAGGAGGAGGAGGAGGAGGAGAGGAGGAGGAGGAGGAGGAGGATGAGGAGGATGAGGAGGAGGAGGAGGAGGAGGAGGGTGGAGGCAGGGAGGAGGGAGGGAAGGAGGAGGAGGGGGCACGTGCGGACTGTGCGCCGAGGCCCAGGAGGATGTAGGGTCGACGGGCTCCACGCATGGGAGGGGGACCTCTCGAGCTCTCGTCAGGCCTGGGCAGTGTCCAGAAGAGCAGGAGCGCCGCTGAGCACAGGAGGGCGTGCAGGCAGCTGCGGAGCTCGGGCATGCAGAGGCAGGGTGCGGACGACGCTGCAAAGCCCCAGGAGAGCAGAGCATCGATAGCGCGAGCACCAAATCTGCAAGTGCAGGACGTGGGATGCAAGGTCGATGGGTTCCACTTTCTCCCCGCCGCCGAATTGTCGTCGGGCCGGCAGCACTGGCGTACCCTCGCGGGGCTGCCTATCTTCTCCGCTCCATGGGTGATGACGGACACGCTGCCCTCCCTTCTCTCTGTCCTGGCAGAAAGGCATCCGCGGCGCCCTGTGGTCTCCGCTCCGCAGGAGGAAGACGAGGAGAAGGAGGAGGAGGAAGAGGAGGAGGGAGGAGGAGGAGGACAAGGAGGAGGAGGAGTAGGAGAAGGAGGAGGCGGAGGAGGAGGAGGACACGGAGGAGGAGGAGGCGGAGGAGGAGGAGGAGGACAAGGAGGAGGAGGAGGACGAGGAGGAGGAGGGATGAGGGAGGAGGAGGATGAGGAAGGAAGAGGAGAAAGGAGGAGGAAGGAGGAGGAGGAGGAGGAGGAGGAGGAGGAGGAGGACGAGGAGGAGTAGGAGGCGGAAGGCTGGCGTAAACCAAATATCCCAATATGCATCAACGATGTTGCAATACGTACACACTCGCGACCAACACCACTCACTTCTTTCCCCTCGGAAGACGAACGGGAACCGCCCTCCATCCATATTCTCTAAGCAATGCTTTCGCTCAGGGGCTCTTCTTACCTGTGTTCTGCGGGACTGGCCCGCGCGATCGCAGTCGGCTGGCACCGAGGGATGCAGTGTGGTCGGTATCCTGTGCGTTTGTGCCCTATGGTTGGCCCGAGAGGGCGCAATTGGCTTTTGCTGGTTGGTGCCTTCTGGTCGATGATCTACGCGTCCGTACCCTATGGTTTGCCCGCGCGTTTGTAGTCGGCCGCTCCCGCTCACTGTCCTATGATCGTTGCCCCATATGTTCGTTACCTGTGGTTGGCCCGCGGGGTCGCAATCGGCTGCTTCCGCTCGGTACCGTGTGGTTGGTACTACATGGTTGGGACAAAACCGAGGGCACCACGCATTTTGAACCATGCAGAATTCCTGTTTCGCATGGTGTTAAATTCCACACCCACGCCGAGGCCGTACTCAATGATCTGGCTTCTCGTATTGCGTTTGGATTCCTGAAGCACTGCTTGCACTTAGGAGATCGGAGTTCGTACTTGTGTTCGGAGGAACTGGGGGGTGTCAGCCTGGCAGCTAGAGCGAGGGCACAATGTGTATATATTTATATATATATACAGAGAGAGAGAGAGAGAGAGAGAGAGAGAGAGAGAAAGAGAGAGAGAGAGAGAGAAACAAAAAAAGGGAGAGAGAGAGCGAGAGAGAGAGAGAACACAAGAGAGAGCGGCCTGCGATCCACGTGACGGGTTGGAGATTTCGCGTGCCATGATATCAGAATGCAGCGAGGCCTCAGACGAGAGCCCGCCTTGGAACAACATGGGGCCGCCCGCCTTTCACTGGTGCAGCTGCTATTCTTCTTTCCAGCTTCAAGGACGTGGGACATTTATTCCAGCGTGGCCCCGGGGAGGGATAACAAGGGGGGAAGGGGAAGACATGTGGAAGGATGCAGGGAGGGGCGTGGGAGGGGTGAAGGGAAGTGTTGCGATTCCAGCTCGCCTTGTTCCAGTGCGTATCGTTCATGCCGATGGCGCATCCGTGGTCGAACGCCAACTCCTCCAGTGGCTTCTTCACGGAATCAGGCAAGCCCTCAACCTGCGCAGCGAGACGCCGTGCGGCCCGTTCCCCCCTCCCGTCGCTTCCGTCACCCCCTCCCTCCACCCCCTCCCTCCGCTCTTCCCTCCCTCTCTCCTCCCGACCTCCCTCGCCTTGCTTCCTCTCCCTTTCCACTACTCCCATGTCGCCTCAGACGCCACACATTCTTGAAGCGGAGGCTCAATTCAAAACTGCTGCCCTCGCCGTCCAGTTTGCGGTCCGGATCTCCAGAGGCCGTTCGGGACGACGACTCGGCCCCCCCCCCTCGGAACGCTCCTGGCGAGGCGCAGCTGCTGGAAAACATAACGAGGCTAGAAAACCGCCGACAATCGGCGAAAACGCTGGAAAACCTCGAACCTCGAGAACACCCGCGTCCGGGCTCGTCGTCCTCGGCGTCCTCGTTCTGATCCTCGTCCTTGTCCTCGTCCTCCTCCTCGTCCTCGCCCTCCTCCTCGCCCTCGTCCTCGTCCTCGTCCTCGTCCTCGTCCTCGTCCTCGTCCTCGTCCTTGTCCTCCTCGGACTCCTCCTCCTCCTCCTCGCCCTCGTCCTCGTCCTCCCTCGTCCTCGTCATTGTCCTCGTCCTCGCCCTCCTCCTCGTCCTCGCCCTCCTCCTCGTCCTCGTCCTCGCCCTCCTCGCCTTCGCCCTCGTCCTCGTCCTCCTCCTCCTCCTCCTCCTCCTCCTCCTCGCCCTCGTCCTCGTCCTCGCTCGCCCTCGTTCTCGCCCCCGTTCTCGTCCTAGTCCTCGTCCTCCTCCTCCTCCTCCTCCTCCGCCTCGCCCTCGTCCTCATCCTCGCTCGTCCTCGTCCTCCTTCTCGTCCTCGCCCTCCTCCTTGTCCTCGTCCTCGTCCTCGTCCTCGTCCTCGTCCTCGTCCTCGTCCAGCTCCTCCTCCTCCTCCTCCTCCTCCTCCTTCTCTTCCTCCTCGCCTTCACCCTCGTCCTCGTCCTCGTCCTCCTCCTCCTCCTCCTCCTCGCCCTCGTCCTCGCTCGTCCTCGTCCTCGTCCTCGCCCTCCTCCTCGTCTTCGTCCTCGTCCTCGTCCTCGTCGTCCTCGTCGTCCTCGTCCTCCTCCTTGCCCTCGTCCTCGTCCTCCTAGCTCCAGGAGGCCTCCAGACGGTCCAAGAGAGTCTCGAGACGCCTCCAGAGACCCTCCAGAGGGCCCTCAGGGCCTCAGGAGCCAAAAAAACATTGATTTCCTTAGGGTTTGTGAAGGTTTTTCGGATCCTCGCCTTTTCGGGCCCAGACGGGCCCAACACGGCCCGTGAGGTCCCCAAACTCGTCCCACGACGGCCCCAGAGGCCCCCCAAAGAGGCGGAAAACGGTCAAAGAGGGCTCCCAGACGACCCAAGAGGGCCCCAAGCAGCCCTGGTCC